CCTTGGATGGGTCACCATACAAAGTAAATTTGGGCTTGTAGGTCACCATTTCAAAAAGGTTGGGAACTGCTGGATTAGACTCCTGCAATGTGCTATGTGTCTATCCCTGAAGACTATCCGGAAGCTACAGTTGGTACATAATGCTGCAGACAGAATGTTGAGTGGGGTGGGTTGTAGGTATCACATCACTCCAGTCTTGTTCTGTCTACACTAGACCCTAATTTGCTTCCATGCCCAATTCAAGGTGCTGCTATTGACTTCTAAAGTTCTATATGGCATGCAGCCAGCATATTTGAAGGACCACCTATTCCCACAGAAACTTACTCAACCACTCTGGTCATGCTTTGAGTGCCCATATCATTTAAGGATAGATCAGTGGTGACTGAGGAAAGAGCCTTCTTCATCGTGGCAGGAAAACTTTGGAACTTCTCCCCCCCCCCCATGGATATTCATCTGTCTCCCTCTATTGTTGTCTCCCACTATGGAGTGAAGACTTTTAAAATTTTGTTTGGCATTCTCTTACTAATTCTTATTCGCCTGCCTCCCTAGTTTTGTGCCCATGCGTTTATATGTTCCTCTTCCTCCTCCTCCTCCTTTGTATTTTAAATGCTTTAAAGTTCAAAATGCCCACTGCCTTGGGGACCTTAGTTGAGTGAAAATGTGGCATCAAAATGCCTTAAATAAATATATAAAGTTTACTGTAATATATTATCTTAAGCACTGACATGTCAAGACTAAATCTGTATACTTGTTCAGTACACAATGATATACTTAAACATTTGAAATTAACACAACCCCCTCCTGTAGGAAGGCTCACGTAGGGCAAATTTAGTAATCAAACGTCTTAGATTCAACACCAAGGCCAGTCCATCTGCTAGCTGGACCCAGGTGATTACCTAGGGCACCAGAGGCAGAGGGGTACCCACCAGCCTGGTCACTGTACTGCCTTGCCCACCCACAGCATTGTGGTCTGCTGCAATCAGCAGCAGCCCTGGGAGGTACCCCTTGCCCCAGTGGGTGACCCAGGGGAGCCTGCTCTATCCCTTCTTCCTCCAGCACAGGGGTGGGGGCAGGCCCTCTTCCTCCTTCCCTCTCTTGTCTCCCCACAGCATAGTGCTGGTTAAGGAGGGTATGCGTCAGCACCCCGCATCTCCATAGCATAAAGCAGATGAGAAACGTGGACAGTCTCTTGTGTCCCTGTGGCATAGGGGGGCAAGGAGGGTGAGTGGTGGCTTCCCCAACCTTGCCTAGGGCACCCAAAATCCTTGGATTGTGCCTGTTCAATGCAAACCAAATAAATTCAGATGGTTCAACACATCAATCATGTTTCTATTTAAGAAAACAACCCCCCCACACACACACAAATGTAAGGATTCAGTCTTTTCCTAGGTCCACAAAAGAACATGCACCTGAAAAGCAGGACAGTGATCCCATTAATTCTGTTGTAGGGCTAGTTCTATAAAAAGAGACACATGCAATAAACATAGCCACTGCCTCCTGTCCCACATACATACATATAAACTAAGGAGAAGCTCTTCCTCTGAAGTTGGCTAGCACCACACATGGGCGGGGGGGATAACCATGGGAACTCTAAGTTTCCAACTAGCTCAAAGTCTACTAGCCCAGCAGGATTTTTATCCTTATGGTAAAGAAATTATGAAAGCCAGAAAATGTTTCATGTTTGGAATCTTCCCAGCTGGAATAGACATCTGCAACTTGTAACATAGGCATGAACACTGAAGAGCTACTGTAGGATGGTCTTTCCATTTTAGCTTAGCATATGCATTTAAACAGTGAACATACTTGAGTGCATACTATGCCACCATCTAGTGATTAAGCCCATTTTTCATTTTCTTTTGTCCATTATAAAAAAGGCAGAAAAGAGGTACAACCTAGGCTAGTAGACAAGGGTTTCTGGGAGTTCAATTCAATTCAATTTATTACAGGTCTTTATGACCGAAGTCTTGACCAAGAGGATACCAAAGGGGGGTAAAATAGGTACATAAAATAGACATAAATATGTCAAGGTACATAATAACAGTCACATAAAACCCAGGCTGAGCCTAGAGATTAAAAATTACCTAACTACACTTGGGGCGGAGCCAACTAACTAAAATCATCCAAAGATTAAAAATCGGTGTCGAAGTTTTCAGAAGTGCTGGACTTTTCAATGCTTCTTGAGAGCAGCC